GGCTAGCCTCGAGGCATTAGCCTCAAAATGTCTTTTTAAACCATGTATATAACTTCTTCACAATCACACCCTAATGACCAACTCTCATTGTGGTGTTGTGTTTTGTCCACTAGGAAAGCTTGCATGTAACATGTATCAACACAAGAAAAACAAAGTTGCTACACTTAAAATACAAACATTCTACATGCGAAACCTATCATGAAAGACCTATAACAAACTCAAGCTATCAATTATCCTCTTCTAGGCACGTCTATGTTCAATGGTTGCTAGTAAACATATCAAATTCAGAAAACAAATCAAGGAAGCAACTCGTTTACCAGTCAGGCCCTTGTTTCCTCACATTTCTTATAGATCTAAACCTTTATTACACTTTCTAATAATAATTTATGGTTGTAGGCCCACTGGCATGGTTATAGAGATTCTTCATACTATAAGAACCTGATAAGGGAAACAGTTGTAACACAATGTAGATAGAAGGGGAGAATTGATGGGAAAGAGCTTCGCGAACGAGGCAAGAAATATTATTATAACCTATTTGTATTAGTTAGACCACCAATGACTAAATATTATTATAATTTTTTGTTTTAAATTTTGGTTATAGGCTTCAAAGTGAGGCAAGAAATACAGTAAGTTAGTTTTTGTTTTTTTGAGTTAACATACATACATTAGAAATATAGTAAGTTAGTTTTTGTTAAGAAACACATGGTTTGCTATTCCCTATGTCGATTGCTTAGATATCACATAATACATCTAATTTTAATGCTACTGTTACCTTGAATTGGACAAGATTTGATTAGATAATAATCAGTCTGGAATAGTAGTCTTTCATTTTGTACTTTTTGATTTCGACCTGATCTGATACGACTATATTTTTTTGGGATTGGTTCATATGCGCCTATGAATATTATCTATACGATTTCTAATCCAGTGATTGTAATCTCTACTGTATTATTTTATTATTTTTCTAAAAGGTACAATGGAAATGGAGTCAAACGATCACAAAATTACTAATTAAGTGCTTGCAATTTATGCAGTACATGGAGATTCGAAATGCTCTTATTTTTCTTACAAAAGTCTCAAATGTTTTCCCCATTACTACAAAAAGTGGGATCAACCATGAGAAAATGGTCAAACCTAGTGAGCTTATTGTATCTTATGTTGATCTGATCAAATGTTAGGTAGCTAAACTTTATTGTGTAATTGATAAAATCTTTTTTGTTTTAGCTAATGTTTAAGTTATCACTTGCCATCCACACATGGCGGACAACAGTTTAGTACACCAGGTGGTAAACTAATGACATGGAGGATTTTTTTTTGACATGATATCTCAAACAAGAAGGTGCCCCTTAGTAGCAATGTAGTATTAGGTTATATAGTTAGGAAAAACCTCTTAGTAACAATGTACAATCAGATCCCCTTAATATCAAATACAATTTTTTGACATGATGTTATTGTATGAGATTGATTTCTTGGTACATATTTTTTTCCATATGTTTTTATTATGCGTAAAATGAGTATCGTAAGGCACGTTGTAAATATATATCGTAAATGGTAGCTAAAGTTTATGACATGAAAATGTGTGTCATCTTTATTTATGAAAGGGGCTTTGAGGATACACAATGTGTGTCCTAAATGTGCGTCGTAAGGTTACGACACACGGCTGCGTGTTGTCTTCCTTTATGGCAGGGCCTTCCTTGATATGCAATGCATGTTGTAAATGCAAGTTATAAGTTTACAACACGCAAAAGCGTGTCGTCTTCGTTTATGAGAGGGCCTTCCTTAACACGTATTTGCAAGTCATCTATGGCCCTTACGACACGAAATGCGTTTCATTAAAGGGTATTTTGTAGTAGTGTTTTGTCTTTCATATATTTGGTTTGGACCATGAAAAAATGCAAGAACCCAAAGGAGGAATATGAATCCAAGTATGGTGTCGCCATCATTGTGCGCTATTCTCTTGTGCATCGTGACCGCTATCGTCACCTCAAGGGTCCTGAATACGCTCAATAATAGTTTGTCCCGATCTCAAAGAAATAGGAGTTTATAATAGCATCCTTTGGTTATTTAACAATATGGGGTGGGAGAGGACCTTAACCTTACCACCCATAGATTCCTTTAAAACACAACTCTTGAATTCTTACAATCTATAAATTTCAATGACGATGCCAAAAGTATCTCATTTGATCTAATGCAATTGCCATTTTTTTTGGATTCTAGATGATCTTAGCGGGTTTCTAGGGTTTTCTGCAAACAATACTTATGGTCCCCATTTAGGATTTTGACAATAAAAAATACCCTCTTCAAAATGAGGACTTTTGTAAGGAAATCATGGGGATGGATTCTTAAAATGCTCGAGCTACCAAAGCATCTCAAATCATTCATCTAGTATCAAGGGTGGCCCTCCAAATTATCTCTAATATTGTCTTCCCCAAGAAGACGCTAACAGAGTCGGTAAAATGTAGCGAGAAGTTCTTTGTTGCGTGGTCACTAGTCTTAACAAACCACATTTTGTTGCCTTTCTTTCCTTCAAACTAATCAAGATTTCTCCTAGTGATTCCGGCCCAATCATTGTGGTAGGATAATCACTTACCTCCCACTCACCTTGCTTATGTTGAACTTTTTGAGGATAAATGTTGTAATCTCGAGAAAATCACACAAGGATCCAATGTCATTGATGTCTCATTTTTCTTCTGCAAAGTGCGTGATGGTAGTCTAACATTGTTACTGAAGAAAAAACCTCATTTCCAAGTTACTTAGGGATTTCAGCTCCATCCAGCTCTAGAAGGATATTAATCACACTTGGTGGCTATAACCAAATAATATTCATGTTGATCCCACCCCACAAGCTCCTGAGTGGTTGATCGTTGACCACGAAGATGATGCTCGTGTTCATCCTTCCATTCCCCTCATTTACTCTACTCCTCCCACTGCAGGGGTCTACTTCTATTACCTCGTTAGAGAACATATGTTACATCTACACCACTTGTGTGACTCAGTACCATGACTCATACATGAGGTGTTTGATCTCCTTGCTAAATATGTTGCTGACATTCGCGTTGATTTATCTACAACCACTGCCCCCATTCAGCAGTTGATAGAAATGGTACAAAATAACCATTCTGAGGCTATGTACATAGCTCTTATGGAGTTGGGCCCCCCGTAGTCAATCACCACCTCATCCTCCCTCCATTTAATAGATTTCCCTACCCTCTTTGAGCATCAAGGAATATGCTTAATCTTAAGCTTGGAGAGGGGTCTTTATATATTAGGTTCTAGATTCCTCATACATTTCATAAAATATATTTTAAAAATCCAAAAATATTTTTCCTTTCTTATTTTCATATTTCTTTTAAGTGCATCCACTTTAAAGCGTCTAAAAAAATCACAAAAAAAATCAATATTTTAAATTACTTTGCATTTCGCATTGTAAATAACAAAAAATAAAATAAAATAAAATAAAACAAAAAATCTAAAATTCCAAAAAGATATTTTGTTTTCATCTTTTTTGCATGCTAAAAAAAATTGTGTGTGTATGTGTGTGTGTGTGTGTATATATATACATATATATATATATATATATATATATATATATATATATATATATATATATATATATATATATATATATATAATCAATCCAATACAAATTAAAAAAACAATTTAATCACATACAAACATATCTCCCGAAGCTACTCATGCTAAACAAAAATATGAAGAGCTTCTCAATACCAAGCATAATAATAGGTATAGGTTGGCCTTTGGAACTTATGACCAACCATATTATTCGTAAATACTCAATTATAACCAAATTTCCACTACTAGAAAAACAGCGTTTTACGACACCAAATTAAAGACACACACTGATAGAGGGCGCGCATTTGTGTGTGCCCTAAAAATTAATGTCAGTTTTCCAAAATTTAAAGGATAGAGGACATGCATTTCTTGCGCGCCCTAAAATTAGTGTCCAACAAAAAAAACACGGAGGGCACCTATTATAAATAGTGTGTCATGTAAATATGTTGCTTTATACTTTTTAGAAAGGCGCGTTCTCCGTTGTTTTAATAATCTATTGTGGGAAATGAAAACACAAAAATTTAAATAGCCCGCCTGATTCATCTCCTTCTCCTTCTAAAATCCTCTAAAAAAACCCTAATAATCCTTCTTCGCCTGATTCATCACCTTCTTCTCCTTCTAAAATCCTCAAACAAAAAACCCTAATTATCCTTTTAAAGTAGTCATCTTCCTCTACCTCTCTCCCCCTCTCTCTCTCTCTCTAGAAAACCCTAATCACCCTTTTGGTTTTCTTCTCCTTCTAAAATCCTTCTCTCCTTCTAAATTAAACAGTCCCCCACCGGATCGCTAAAACAACAGCCACCGATGCACCACTTCACTGCCTTTCACTCTCTAAATGTGCGACTACTCAATGTAATGGCCTTCTAGGCTTTCGTTATCCCCCTCCCTTAATGTCTTCGATCGAAAATGGAGATGATGGACACCACTACTACTCCATTACTTACATGTCGATCTGTCAGCATACACATACCTTGTTTAAAGTGGATTTAAGGTTTGTTCTTCAATTCATCATTTTCGTGTGCCAATAACCCCAGTTTCTATTATCACTTCTTGTTCCTCACCGACGATCTCATCTAAACCTCATTCTTACATTTTTTTTCTTATAATTCTTAAACCCCTCTTCAAAGGACTAGGGATGCGAACCTCACAAAATCCTTCATATAACCAGCGATTGGGGGTCTGCAAATCTTCACGTTGACAACACCCTGCTGCAAATCACGATGGAGCCCAACAGTGAAGCAATTACATAACATGGTTTTGGTGTGATTTGGGGAGAAGATGGGATTGGGTAGTCTGCTTCCTCTCTATCTTCTTCCTATGTATATAAATCCACCCCTCATCGTCATCTAAACACAAATTAACCTTCATACTTCTTCACTCAGAAGTGTTCAGAAACAAGCTCAAAACCTCAACACAAGATACCCATGATGTCCATATATCGATCCAACCTCTTTCTGAGCCTTCTGCTTTTTCTTGCTTTTGCTACAAAATTCGCAGAAACACATAACTATGAGTTCAAGGTACGCCCTTATATTATACATAGTGTACCATAGTCATCATATACATTTTTTTGCGTATCTAATGTGCATGTTAATTTCAAAAGTTGATTATGTTCATAACTACTTTGATTTTCACAGGTTCAAGAACAAGCAGCAACAAGGCTATTCTAAGTATGTAATTCATGTCCTTTTGGCTGTTTCAGCTTATAGCTATTGGCTTAGAACTAGCTGATGTTTGGGAAGGTATCTATCAAGCACATGTATTAGGTATCCAACTATTAATATATACAAGGATTATTTCAATTGTTTATAATATAATTAATATTATACTATTCTCATGATACAGAAAGTTATAAATGGAAGTATTGGTAATTACTATGCTTGTATCAACTTCTCAAGAACTGTTCCTGATAGTGTTGCTCAAAGTTTTTGTCATCAGTTGGTCCAAAGGTGCCAAGAATCTGGCATGGTATGTATATAATCAACTCAGATATTATCTTTCATAAATCAAATATTTAAATTATATACAAAATGTTGGAAATTTCAGGAATTTAAAAGTGAAAGTGTGGTTCTAGTCTAATCTGCAAGACCAGATCAGGTGAAGAAGGCTTTAAAGCACGTGTATACAGCCACTATAAACAAACTTGGAGGAAAATATTTGGAATTGCTTATTTCCATTCTCCTTAACAACAATGGCAGCTTGTATGGTTTGTAGCTTTCATATGCTTATCTCCCTTCCATTGGAATAAAAAAGAAAACTTTTTTATTTTGCTTGATGGAATAGAATGGACCATTCCGTTCCATTCCTTCCAACCAAACAGACAATAAAGTTGCTTGGGTTTCAGGTGATGTGAAGGAAATATGTGAAACGGATCTCGGATTGATTTCACAATGTTGTCTTACAAAATATGTTCTAAAGATCAACAAACAGTATCTCTAAAAATTCTCCCTCAAAATCAATGTCAAGGTCAAACATTTTTCATGAGAAACGAGGCATTACTAACTCATTGAATTCTATTTTTTGATTTTAATTTTTTATTACTCAGAGTCTGGAAAGGATAGTAACCCATCAACTGATACAGTAATTACAACAATAACCTTGGTCTCTAGACTATAGTTTACTTGTGTTAAAATAACCTGGAATGGGAAGAGTTATAGTTGTTGATCTGTTAGCAGGATCATTATCTAGAGGAACTGCTATTCTTTTTACTTATCCACTTGATTTAGTTAGAATTAAATTGGCTTACCAGGTATCAATCATAATTCCCACAGCTTTATTTTAAAAAATAGCTACATACTTTTTTTAATATGCAACTATCTAACTAGCCCAATCATTTTCATCTGATAGTACAGGTTATGGATACTCCCAAATTGAACATGAAAGAAGCCATGAGTAGCGAACATGCATTCAGAGGAATTAGGGATTGTTTTTCAAGAACTTATAGAGATGCTGGGATTAGAGGGCTGTATCGTGGTGTTGGTATGAATTTTTTAATTTCTCATACAAAATAGGTTTTTTTATTTATAAAAATTGATTTTTTATAGCTCCATCACTCTATGGAATATTTCCTTACTCAGGTTTGAAGTTTTACTTCTATGAGAAAATGAAAAGCCATGTCCCCGGTGATTACAGAAAGAACATGATGGTCAAACTTGCTTGAGGGCCTATTGCTGGTTTATATGGTCAGACTTTCAGTTACCCTTTGGAAGTTGTCAGACGCAAAATGCAGGTAATCTTTTAAATCTAGTATGTATATGTATATGTATATGTATATGTATATGTATATGTATATGTATATGTATATGTATATGTATATGTGTATGTATATGTATATGTATATGTATATGTATATGTATATGTATATATATATATGTATATGTATATGTATATGTATATGTATATGTATATGTATATGTATATGTATATGTATATGTATATGATCAAAGTATGAGATTATCAAGATAAATGTTGTTTGAGTATAACAGGTTCAACATCTACAAGGCTCAAGCTCACAACTGAAAGGAATAATGGGAACTCTTATTATAATTGTCCAAAAAGAAGGATGGAAATTGAGCATCAACTATCTCAAGGTGAGATTGTTAATTACCTGAAAGGGAGAATTTGTAAAAAGGTAGGACTTAACAAGGATTTTTTTGAAGTGGTATCGTTAGTTGCAATTGGATTTACAGTTTATGACACGATGAAAGTATATTTAAATTAAGGTCCCACCATGAGAAAATGCCATTGTTGATGTGGCCACAAACAAAACAGAGACCTAAACAACAACCTTACCCTCATCACAATAATTACAATTTTAACATGGTATTCTTTTTCCCATTAATTTTAAGGTAATTGAAAATTGTAGATGTGATTCTTTTGTAATGTAGCCTAGGTTCTATTCCAATGTATAGGCACAACTATCCTATCCCCTCTCTGCATTAATTTGAGGGTGAGCTAATAATCCCTTAGATTGAGAAGTCAAACATGGCCCTCTTTTAAGTAAATCCCTGATCAATGCAGTTTAAAATCAATGCTTCTTGGATGTAAACATATGATGGTAAAGTTTCATTCCCTTATATATTTTCAAAGAAGTGACTAGATCATAGTGTTCTTTTGGTTGGGTATGGATCGGCTAGTTATGTGCCCAGTAGACATAAGGAGAAGCCTTAATGGATCATCAAGAACTCGTGGGGAGTAAACTAGGGAGATTTTTTCCCACACCAAGCTAGTTCGAAACATATATTTGAAACAGAACCAATAATGCATTCTATCCACCCTCATGTACTATCTATCTATACATTGGTTACAAAGATTTGACTAAACATTAATTGGGATTAGTTTGACTTGATGTTATTGTGTAGGATTTACGTGTTGTTCTTCATCAAGAGTTGGGATTGATATTGAAGCTAAGAGACATGATGATTGGTTAGATGCATGAAGCGTTGTAGAGCTTCTTCAGACAGCTTAATAACGAGTTACTGAAACAAGAAGGTGCCTCTTTATAGCAATGTATTATTAGGTTATATAGTTAGGGAAAACCTCTTAATAATAATGTACAATTAGATCCCTTTAATATAAATGTATAAATTTTTTTTGACATGATGTTATTGGATGAAATTGATTTATGTGGTATATATGTGCTTCTATATTTTTGTATTATGCGTACAAGATTATCGTAAAGGCACGTCGTATATGTATATCGTAAATGGTTGCTAAAGTTTATCACATGCAAATGTGTATCATCTTCATTTATGACAAGGGCTTTAATGATACACAATGTGTGTCCGAAAGGCGTGTTGTAAGGTTACGACACGCAAATGCGTGTCGTCTTCCTTTATGACAGGGCCTTCCTTGATACACATTGTGTGTTGTAAATGAGCTTCGTAAATGTGTGTCATAAATGTGCATCGTAAATAGACAACATGCAAAAGCATGTCGTCTCTCGTTATGATAGGGCCTTTCTTGACACACATTTGTGCGTCGTCTGAGCGTTTTACGACACACATTGCACGTCGTAAAAGGTAGTTTTTATAGTAGTGTTCAAGCTTTAGAAGAATATAAACGAAATATAAAATTTCAGTGACCCAAACCTGCTAGTGCTCTAAAACTCTTTCTACCCATTCCCTTATAAGTATATTGCTTGGGGGATATAATTTCTAATTATACTTATGGGTCCTTGAATGTTTACATTAGTCTTCCGAAAAATGCCATAAAAAACTCTCGCGGTAATAGATCGTGAGATGTTCCAATGGTAGAAAATACAATGACAAAAATATAAAGAATTGGGCCAAGCAAATAACTTAGACATGTAGATATGTATTGTTCCTTCTTAATTCTACCCCTCTATTTATGTCATAGTAGCACCCTCCTTGTGAACACCATCATGGTATGTCATGTCAAGCCGACATTTAAGCACGAGTATATCTTGAGTTACTTTGAAAGTACACTCTTGCGAACAAAACTTTAAAGGAGTTGTGTCGGGATAAAATATTAAAGAGTTAAAAAAAAAAAAAAAAAAAAAAAAAAAAAAAAAAAAAAAAAAAACTTTAAAAAAAAGATAAAAACAAAAAACAAAAAACGATAAAAAAAAAAAAGGAAAAAAAGTTAATAAGTGGACAATTCCACGGCAACATATGTTGCATAAATAAATGCAATTAGAAAAACTGATTGGCTATCAAAAGATCCCCATGGATTTGGACTTGAACTTGTGACATTAAGACTGATAGTTAACTACTTTGATTGGTGTAAGTGGTATGAAACATATAACCAATGTAGGTAAATCCTAGGGAATTTTTAGAAAAATGTTCAATAAATAGTTGGATTCAGTTAATATTTTAATTTGCAAAATGAAGAACATTGGGCATATTTTTCATCACATATGTTTCCACAAGTGTAAGACCATAACTTGTTCCATGTGCTAACTCAATACTAGTAAAAGTGAACAAGTGTTGTCATTTTTTTTATCTTTGTTCAGTTGTATAAGGGAATGACAAAAATTCTTGTTTATAATGTTATATAACTTTGTGTGGACAATGTATATTCTCAACTATGTGACACAATAAGGTTAATTGGATTGGGTTCCATTTAGTTTGTTTATCGCATTGTTTTCCAAATGGTAGAATTTTGATTTTTTTTTTGACTTTCTTCCTATATTCCCTCCCGTCTGTACTTATGTTTTCTCTTTATTGAGGACAAAAAAGTTCTAAGCTTGGAGAAGTTTGTGAGGTGCATTTTGTGCACATATTTTACACATATATTCGTATCTTTTCAATGCCTTTTACGTCCTATTTCTTCTATTTAGTTAACTATTTGGGAAATTGCATGTTTTATTCTAAATCCGAGTGAGGATAATATGTATTGGTCATGTAGCAGAAAAGAACTTGAATACACAATCTGAATCGTTGTATTTCATCATAGCAAAGAACCACGTTTGAAGAATGGTTTGTACCACACGAACATGGGTTGTGTTTGTTTGTTCCATCATATATTTAAGCAACATGAATCCGAGTGAAGCTAGATCGAAGACGGAGCCAAGTGTGAAGACTAATTTAGGTTTAAGCTAAAAGCTCAACCTCGATTTGAAACACATGGTCATGTTGAAAACACATGGACAGGCCACAAACACACGACCATGCTAAAAAATGGATTGTCATATGGTAAACACACAAGAAGTTATTTATGGGGCTAAAAATGAGGAAATCGACCATTTTATAGGGAGATACATTTTAGAGCAACTAGAGGTGATTTTTGGAAGAAAAAAAATGGAGCTTTTGAAGTTACCAAATCAGTGCAGACATTTCTTGTTTTCATATGTAAGCATTAAACAATTCCAATTCTATATTTTTGGTTGATTTGTTCTTAGCCATGTGTGACTAAGAAACCCTAATTTCAAGTTCTTTTTCAAAACATGTTGATTGTTGTAACGCCCGCGTTTCCAGGCTAGGCATTATCATTGATGTAATAGTCTAGGTTAACCCTTGTAACTCTTTTTGAAGTATTAATGATGAAATATTTAAGTATTATGTGTTATTTGCTTAATTGTGTGACTTAACTTAATTAAGAATAAAATAAGCGTCAAAATGAAATGTTAGATAAAGCCGATATCTATGGATAATGTTGTAGTGGTTGAAACGAGGTTTCCGAATATATAAAGAATGCCGAAATCCGAGTTATAACGAAGAAGTTATGACCTGTCGAAGTTTCGCGACAGAACCGGTAACGTTGAATGACGTAAAAAGTGAAATTTACGTTAGTGCGATATTTAGCCTTAGTGATCTAAGGGAATATTGTAGAGTTCTTTAAACTGAGAGCGTGCATAAAAAGAACGCCTAAATTTGACTTCGTATAAGGAAGTTATGATTTTTCGAAGTTTCGACTTAGCGGTATGCAACCCGAATACTCGAAATAGAGATTGAGTGATATTTAGCCAAAAATTTCTAAATGAAAATTGAAGATCTCATTGATAGTAGTCCAACGATAAAAAGACAGACGAAAACGGAGTTCAGATGAAGGAGTTATGAATTTCGAACACAATTTTCCTATCCCGGTCTACTAAAAATAATATATAAGTAATATACTTATAATATATTAAAAATAAAGTCAAAATTAGCCAATGAAGTCTAAACGAGAGTTGTAGATCATAATCTCACCTTCGCGTCGCTATAAAGAACGTCGAAACGGAGTTCGTATGAGAAGGTTATGAATTTCTGAAGTTCGGTGCGCGAAACCCCAAAACTATCAGATACCATGACGTGGCAAGCAATGCCACGACGTGGCAAGTCTTATGACACCTCTGGGAGTCCCCCGGATGCAACTTGCGATGACGTATGCAGTGACGACCAAGCCCACGACGTGGAAAAAGGTTGGCACGACGTGGCAAGGGCCAAATTTTCCGTATAAATAGATTTGAAGGGCCAGCCATTTAGGGTTGCTATTTTCACTCCTCTCTCTCCCGTTTTACCTTGATTTACATGCAATAAATATCCCGAAGCGAGTCCTGAAGCCCCGAAGATCTCGAGAAGTGCGATTCCCGAGCCGAAGCTCTGCCCGCGAGAAGTTCAATTTCCGTGAAGATCTTCCAGATCTGCTGAGGATTACTACTACTATAAACCATAGTGTTGTCCGATCATCTTCTGATCAAGTGAGTGTGTAGTTATTTTC